ACCACCCTATTATCCATTCAAACGAAAGACATTTTTCATTTTCATTTTATGTCCTTCATTCGCTTAAAGCTTATCTGCCGTAGTTTACAGGAGGGATTAGACCGCTCTGCAAGGTCACTGGACAGGTGGTTATCTCATCAACTCAGCTCTCAGTTAACATAAGAAAAAGAGGATCATGGGGGACCAATGGTCACCGATTAGGCATTGTTTGTTATATAGAGGGCGCAAGTAGCTACCAGTAGTGCAGTGGGCCTTTAAAATTGAAACTACAAACATAAAGTCAAGGTATTTGCCCATGCGATGTTGTTTTGCCGATTATCTAAGCTTTTTTGTCACGTGTATATTCCATACGTTTTTTAATATAGATATTATGACCACATATTTTCTGATTACCTTTGGGGGGGGGGGCGAGTGGATGATTTGGGTTAGGTGTAGAAAGTAAGCTTTACTGGAACAAAATAAGTTCAGTTCTCAAAAGACCGGTTCATAAATATCTTTAAATTAAATGTATTATTCTACAACACTGGACCCTGGAACTTGATAAATGTCTGCCAAATATGACACTAACTAATTTATCCAACTGCACTCTCACTGTTTAGATTTTAAAGCAGGTGGAAAATATATTATCTAGGCTCTCGGAGAAGAAGTGACTATGAATTCGAGTCCATTAGAGTAAAATATGTCCGTTTCCTTGAATCTGCATAATTATGTCTGCATCTCAAAACACTAAATCAAGAGCTCCATTGAGATGCAATACATGGTACTATCATAAGTGTTTGACGATGGATAATGTTGAGACAAGGCGTACATGTCATCAGCCACACAAGAGCTCTTTACGTTGCATGTATAAATATGTATATTAAGCTGCGAAACATTAAAAATAAAACACAATTCAAAGATATTGATATGTAAACAATAAGTTTTACCTTTATTTTCTGATAAAATTCTCTGAATTTCTGACTAAAACATTTGATGATATCTCATACCTTCGAAGAGAACATGCAATCCTATAAATTCTGTCTACAAATATATTTCATCTTTATTCCGAATAGTAGTCATAACATGAACAAGAAGTGTACACTTAAATCCAGGTCCATGGCACAGTGTAATAAAAAATACAAGAGTTTCATTGGCAGAGTTATCATCACTAAATGCCAAGTCTGTTACAGACATCGGCAATCAAGACCCTCACTTTCTGTCTATTATCTGCTATTCTTACAAAGCTGACTTCATTTTTGGTTGCGCATTTGTTGAGGCTTTACCTTCCCCTGCTTCTCTTTCCAGCAATATTTCCTGTTAAAATTATTTTATCTAGGTTATCCTTTCAGTATATGGGACCACCAAGAGGGGGGCACAAGACAAATACAAGGTGTACGGTACATTGAAACATTTTTACAAATAGATGACATATTTTGTAAGCCCTAAGCGGTTATGAACTAGTTGATTCTATGTATGCATTTTTAGACATTGTTAGCCAATTTAAGAACAAAAATATAAGAATCTTTATTATAAATAAGTAGATAACAACAATTTTAACTGCGACATTTCTGTGTTATGATTGATAATATTTATATCTCACCACTCATTGATTTACAAGGGCATTATTTGTTGTTTTCATAACCTTATTAGTATCAGAAAAAATGTTAAGGTAACAATAAGTAACATTTTGATTTCAGTATCCAACCAAGTTGACATCATCAATAATATGTACCTCAGTGACCTTATCTGATTTGCACAATTTCATTGAAAGCTATTTTGACAATACCATGTCAAACATACAATACATGGTAAGGACGAGAAATAAAAAATAATAATATAAATAATATGTCTTGTTGATCCAGCCTCATCAGTATCAATAATGTTCTCCTGCAATCATATTATTACCCCCAGCTTTCAATAGTTCATTGTTTTATTACGCAAGTAAAAACCAAGATTGCTAAGCTCATCCAAATAAACTTTTACTCTACTTTAATCAATTTTTAACAAAAATAAATTTACAATTTCATTACTGCAAAATATTGTTGTAAGTTCTATAAGTACAAATGAAATATATTGTTCATATTGAAATTACTGAATATAAATGACAGACGTGGGCAAATAATACTTGAAACTTACTTGCAATGATCCGTTTTGTAGCTTTACTCAAGACTTGTAGAAGTCCATTTTATCAAGGAGACTGCATGATAATGATGAGTTATGTCATAAACTCTATTTCATATAACACTATTTTATGTACATAATATCATTCTATATCTTCATGACTCTTCTTAATCGTCTTGCTTAAAGAAACTTTCCACAATCCCATCTTATGCCAATTCGAATGGTTTTTCATGTTCTTTTCTTTGTTTTATGTGTATATGTTTTTATTAATTTTTCATTTATTTGCCATTTTGATTTCCTTTCCCGTATTCCCAAAAAATACTTGGACACACTGCATAAAATATGTACAATATGATTTATATATACTATCATTTTCATTATAATTCAATGTACATATTTACAATAAATAGTTTTTTGTTTTGTCAATGGGTTCTGTTCTGTGTATGAATTGAGAAAATCAATGTTTTTCCACACGATAATAACGCTGAGGTTTGTGGACATGTACAATTCACAGTCATGTAACATTCAACTAGAATTTTTACATCTATGTTTGGATTGTAATGCTTACCCATTGTCTATTTACTAGCTCATTTCATTTCATTTCATTTATTTTCCACATTAAAAACCAGAAGAATATACAAGGTAAGAAAATACATTTTATACATTTGACACAGAGCAAATAAAAAACAGATACATAAGCATAAAAGAACAATGAAAATCTACATCAGTTAACAAACATCAACATTAAAACATAAAAAGGTGAGTAATGTAGATGGGGCTAGAAAAAGCGAAGCTTAAGCCCCAGTCCCATATAAAGCCGGACCAGCACGGACGAGCACGGACCACTCCGGACCATCCCGGACCATGGTCTGGGGCGATCCGGGATGGTCCGGGATATTTTGTTCAAAAAAGTGTGATGCTTTTAAGCTACAGTCCCATATACGTCCCGGACCGTCCCGGACCATCCCGGACTCCATCCGGGGTGATCCGGGATTCGGTCCGTGTTGACACCGTGTTGGCACCGGGGTGGTCCTGGATGGTCCTGGATGGTCCTGGGCGGTCAATAACTCACTCCCGGACTGCCACGGATCAACACGGACCGCCCCGGCGCCACTACGGATGACCCCGGACCCAGCACGGTGGCTACACGGATCACCCCGGATCAAACTATTGTCCCGGACCGTCCCGGACCACCCCGGCAGTTTTTGACCGTCAAAAACATCCGGGGTCGACTCCCGGACCGCCCAGGACCATCCAGGACCATCCAGGACCATCCAGGACCATCCAGGACCACCCCGGTGCCAACACGGTGTCAACACGGACCGAATCCCGGATCACCCCGGATGGGGTCCGGGATGGTCCGGGACGGTCCGGGACGTATATGGGACTGTAGCTTTATCGAGTCTAGCCCCGGTAGCAATGAAGGGGAAGTCCACCCTGAGAATGTGTGTGGCCAAGTAAGGGCGGAGTAAAACCATCCTCAGGGTGGACTCTCCCTTCAAATGTCTGGTTTTATAATTAGATTAATTAAATCTTTAAATCTTCATCAAATCTTTCTACAGCATCTCCCCGACCCTCAACAACTCAACATACTACATTTATAAGATCCCTTGGTCTAATTTGATTTAGTATCTCATAAACTTCCTCCTCCTTCATTGAACAGATATGGCAGTAATATAGCAATACAAGTAGAAGTAGGATTAATGAAACATGAGTGCTACATGGATTACTTACTTTTCTTGTATTGTTATGTTGGCTCAAATAGAGTATGCCCAACAACTTTGTAACTGAGTTAGTTCATTAACATTGGTCATTGATAAACCATGTATCAAACTTAATACTATCATTACTGTTATTACTTATTTGACCTGCGTCTAAACAACATCAAGAACCATGACGCCGTGGGAAGAGATACTACATAACAAGAATGTGAAGAAGATAGGAGAAGCAAATAAGTCAAGGTGCACTAATACACTGTCGCTCATAAAGGTGGAATATTTTTTTTAAAATCCCAATTTATGGAATTATTTTTAAAATAATTTAAAAATAATAGATCTAGATAATAGTATACATTCTCAGATTTTATTGAATAATAATTTGCCAATGTGTGTTTTGCGTGACTGCTAAAGCATGTGTATGCTACTATGCTTATCAACTAGGGGACCTATGCCCTTAAGTCATAAATGACAGTAATGAGGATTAATGCCCCCCAAAAGGGCACTAATATAGCACATCGACACGGTTTTGATCCTGGGGTCTCACAGTTACGAGGCCATTGCTTTGTCACTGAACCATGACTGTACGCAGTGGAGGCTAGGGTAGGGGGCAGTTTCCATGAATAAAAAATAAAAGATAAAATGCAATAAATGTTCAATAATTTATTGCATTTTACCCCGGTCCCCAACATAAAAAAATCCTCTGAACGGCCATGCATTATGGCTCAAGGCATGGGTACACAGAAGATTTTCGTATAAAACTAAAATATTCCACTTTTATGAGCGACAGTGTAGTACCAGCTACTCTTGAAAGGACTAAAAGAATTAAAGCACATTTATGATAACTTGATTATACATGAAAATACTGTTGTAATGTAACAACTGACAAAGACAGAGCATCTTTTTGTAGCGTGAGTCGATTCGGAAAACTAATTTCAAGATGTAACGAATTTGTACTTCAATTGCACAAACTGATCTACATGACTTCATGACATACAGTTTAGCGATTTTGAAGACTTTCAAAGATACTTTCAGTCTGCTTAAAGTTTATTTTCTTATCTCATCTTCAATTCAATTCAATTCAATTCAATTCAATTTATTTATATTTCCAACAAAACATTACAAATCAATTATAAACATTTACAACAATTTAGGAATACATTTGTGAAACAGAGGGGTCCACTAAAAAGCAATGATTGTACAATTGTGGAGTCTGGACCCCTCCAAATGAAACTTTAGAATAATGAATAATTACATTAAAAAAATTCGTAACTACCAAAGGAACTACTGTACAAAATAGGGGGAAAATATCACTCAGGTTTATCAGTTCTCTTCTAGAACACCATTTAAGATGTCATAAATCTTTAAATTCCAGGGCAATGGCATATCTACAGGAGGCATGGGGCACATGTACCCCCATAGACGATTCCTCAAAAAAAAAAACAGACCTTCTAAATAAGTAGCCTTGTAAATTCACAATTTATTTCCGAGTGAGAATGCCCTCCGCCCCTCCTCTCGATAGATTAACTCACACTATGCCACAATGCCAGGGATGTCATTTAATCCAAAGCTACCCTCTTCGAATGGTACTTTATGGAAGACGAATGGCAATGAGCCCCAAGTCCTGTAGGTCTTGGTCGTGCTTGCTGTGTTTCTGAGTCTTAATGACTTGATGGAAAATGCAAGTAGCATCCGAGTCCGATTGCTGCACTCTATAAATCTACCAAGCTTGGTGTCACATCGGTCATCCGCACATCTGTTAGACAAAAAGACGTGAGTTGGAATTATTAAACAAAGCTAACGATGAAATTATCAGTACCTTACATAACGGATGTAATAAATAATAAACAAATAGGTAAACCAAAGATACATAATGGTCTATGATTTCGTAAAATGATTTACATGGAATATACCGATCCGAGGTATTAATCAGAGCCGGAGAAAACACCCCCCCCCCCTCCCCCCCCCCCCCCCCCCCCCCCCCCCCCCCCCCCCCCAAAAAAAAAAAAATAATAATAATAATAAATAAATAAAATAAATTTAAAAAAAATAATAAAAAAAAAATTTAAAAAAAAAATAAATAAATAAACTAGACATAATACTCGTTTAGAACAAGTATAGGTGGGCTGGTCAACTAAAATTTGAGACAAAATAGAGCAAAAATAAGCGAGATACTGCTAAAAAAACAATGTCATTGATGTAATGATGTAAACGAAATTCACCTTCCATAGGCATAACACGCAACGTAAGAAATTTCTGATATGTGCCCTTTAATCGTAATTTTCACTATGATGAAGTAATCAAAATGAAAAATGGTGTGACTGAGCTTGTAGAGAATTGTCTTAGCTACATCATATCGAAATTTGGAAGAAAATCGATCTATATTTACAGAGATACAATCAATGTTACATAAATATGCTGACGTCATTATATGCAAATTCGTATTTTGAGTTCCAAGGCCATTATGATGATGTCACGATACACTTAAAGGCCAAATGAGACATGGAATAATATTTCCGACTCATACTCTATCTAAATATGAAAAAACATTAAAGGTCACGGTTCATTCCAAAGAGCTATAATGGATTTTGCATAGGCATGTTTTTGCCCATATATGCTATGTAATAAAAGAGCTCGCGCGCACGGACATTTATCTTGAATTGACGCTCATCTTGTTATTAATGGTCATAAAGAGATAAACATGGTATCAAATTCCTCGAAAAAATATGGGAAATATCATGAAAGAAAAAAAATTGGCGATCCTATGTTGTGTAATGGTGTTACGCGCGAAAACGCGCGCGCATGCTCGCGCGCGCGATTTTTTTATAAAATGCTTAAAATGACCTGAAACGTATGCAAAAAAATTTTGAGACGATTCTGAGCATTTTCAAATTTTGCGCGCGCACTGACGCGCGGACGTACGCGCACGCGCGCGTTTTTTGACGTGAAATTGACCGGACTGATATTGACCTTGATCATGATAAATATGAATGAGAAATACTTTTTGGTTATGAAGATATGATCATGTGTTGATTTTCGTAAAATTTTACAAAATGGCGCCTAGATGACGTCATCAGTCAATTTCAAGGTTGAAAAAAATTCTGTGCTTTGTACATATGCCTATACATATGTTTGCCAAATTTCAAGGCATTTGATTGAGCCATTTCCAAGTTATCTTGCCAACAAAAAAGTGGTTAGAAATAAGAAAAATATTTAATAATAATAAATAAAGGCAATTCTAACGAAATTATAAGGTGGTCTGTACGTTATACAGCCCACCTGATAAATAAATAATAATAAAGGCAATTTTAACAAAATTATAAGGTGGTCTGTATTAGATACAGCCCACCTGATAAATAAATCCCTGCTACGTAGAGTCCACCCTGGACAAACGTCTAGATATTCCCTCCGAAAGACAGTTATCATTTCAAGTCATCACACTACCGTATCCCAGTATTGGTGAACACGATGTTTGATGCGATAAGGAGAGTACACAGGGTCTTGGAAAAACCACACTTGGACAGCAAAGTGAAAACTCCTACTATGACCCCATGGTCAGAGATTAACCTTACTATACTACAGCAAAAGCACACACCTGATTTCTGTATTGGTATGTTGAACGGATGACCAGTGTCCTGGTTCTTGACATTTTCCTCCTGAAGGAATAATCCTGATCTTGCTGAAGATCTGAAAATTGTTGACCACATAGTGACCACCAGATACAATCCTGATATCAGCTGAATGGCAAACTAGAGCATCACAATCCTTACAATGGTAACTGTGGTTGCACTCATCGAATGGTTTGGGTCGCTGTTGGTTGAAGATCTGTACATTGCGATGTCGCTGGTATACAGCAGTCTGTGAAAATAGATCAAAGGTAATTGCTGTACGTGTTTGTCAAAATATATGTACATTGGTTTAAAAAAGTTTATTATCAACAAGTTGTACATGAATTTGTTATCCTAAAACTTGTACTTTTGTGTTTCGCCTTTGATTATACAGTAAGATCAATCATTAAAGAAACACAATCTGTAAAGGTAATTATAAGGAAGTAAAGTCAAATAAATTTCACTCAGTAGATACTTTAATAGATGACAAATAGAGTATAAGATATGCTTGATATACACTAGCATCAGAGAGGCTTAGGCCCACACAAAATACTTACTGAATGAATCTAACCAGGTAATTACATATAGTATATTGTTGTTGATGTTTCTTTGTTGCAAATACATGTACATCCCTGTCATTGCATTAGTGTAATGAGAAGTTTGATCAGGGTTTTCACAATCAACATTATAATTGCTTTGACTTACCCCACGTTCCATCTGCTCAATAGAAAGTGATGAAACTGTATCAGTAGCTTGTTGCATGATCAGTTCCTGTTCCTTACTAAGTTTGTCTTTCCCATCCAGTCCTCTGTAATCATGGACTACCAGATCAAAACGACCTCCTGGTTTACGCGTTCGACCTTCAAAAGCAAGATTAAAAACACAATATGAATACAGGCATGGATTCATCCATTATAGCAGTACAGTGACCATTACATACCAGTATACTAAATTATTATTTCATTAAAGAAGAAGTCGAATGTTGCATCAATTTTACTACTGAAAAGAAAACAATGAGAGAAGTTGTTTTGATCAATTAAACATTAATTTGGGAACTCTGCGATTTATCTTGCTTACAGCTTCCAATCATTGCTTTCTTTATTTGTCTTGATCATAAATCAGGTACTATTGGTTTGGCAGTTGTTATTATACTTGCAGTCTTGGATATTCAGTCTAAATGCATCCACAATTCCACCAAAACACAGGATTATTGCTCAGTATTGATTTTTACAGCAAGTAACAACAAGAAATATACCTCTGGCTTGAATACGTGCAACAGCATCAGTGATGTAGTTGTACCTGTATACAAAGTTGCATGCTTGGACATCAATGCCTTGTTGTAGAACCGAGGTTGCAATGAGCAGCTTGTGTACACCGTTGCGAAAGTAGTCCAGGACATCTATCTGGTGACGTAAGTTCATGCCTATTTAACAAAAAAATGAAATAAAATGTTATACTTTTCTGAGAATAAACATTCCAAATATTTCCATCTAAGGTTCAAATAGAATAGGCCATGAAGCTACAGTTCTTGAACTATTGATGATAAAATAGATATGAACAACTACAATTTAGAACATGTTCAATCAATCTACTTCTTCCTCCATGGGCATTGAAGATAAACCTCACCGAACGGCCCGGTGTAAAGGCATTATAGAAAAAGAATGTAAGCTCTGTAAATTATTCAATAAAGGATTATTCAAATATGCCTCGCAGCCAGTGGCTGAATTGCATATGCGTACATATATGGTGTGGTAAATTTAAGAAAATGCGTCTACATGTATCGCATGAAACAAAACTATAATTTACACTTTAGCATAAAACAGCTTAAAATTGATTAAATCGAATCATACACTAAAAATAACACCGAACATATATTCAGCAAATCCCTTAAAATGTCACAAGAATCCAACTTGATTGCCTAAATGAATTACAGCATCCCAAACTTAAAAAACATCATTCCTATCAGTAGAAAACTTAATTATTTAAAAAAAAAAAAAATCATTTTGCGAAATTTACATATATAATATAAGAGCAGAATTACAAAAATTCATATAAAGAATAGAAAAGCAATTGTTATTTACAATGTAATATTTTACATGGATAATATGTTAACCGAAACAACTATAAGGGGTTCACTATTCCACAAAAATGGTCATGGTAAATCATGTATGATTAAAAAAAATATGCCTGACATAACTTGACCTGATTAAGTAGAAACAATTTCAACCAATACAAGGATAGGGGGAAAAAAACTCCTTTTTTCCCTATTTCCAGCATGGGCTTAGTCATGGCAACTAGAAGCATGTATTGCATGAATTTGAAGAATGAAGTGGAGGGCAAGGGAAGTAAAGGATTGGGATACAGACTGGGTAAGACAAGGGTTTGGGAGAAGGGTGAGTTTGTAAAACGCTGTGGGCTGGTATTTCTACTTCTGTATGCATGCAGGAGACATTAGAGATCGCAGGATAATATCTGGCCCACTGCAAATGGCACACGATTCCTTTGATGAGGCAGGTAAGTATACACACCTGGGTTTCTACAGCCAACCAACACCTCTGGATTAAGATCTTTGAGGGAATCTGTCTCCATGACCCAACTTCTGAGAGCCCATGTAGATGTGATTGTCGGAGTGAAGAGGATAGCTCGGAATGAATCACCATTCTCATTGGTATGACATGTCACTATGTCTCTTTCTATCATGTTCTGAAGCTTAACCAGTGCTGGATTTAGTGATTTAGGACTCATTGAGATTCTCTCCAGTTTGTGTTGCTTGTCTGATTTGAGTAAAGAAAATAGCAGTGAAGTTTTGTTATAGAACCTGGTGATATGGAGTAGGTCAGCGTTTTTCTACCTCTTTTAAAGGGATAGTTGAGTTCTTATTCAAGACCGCAAATTCCTTCAAAGTGCATGGTTATTGCTCTTATTCTTACATTTCTAGTGCCCTTTTAAGACCTAAAATTGCTATAAAGGTAAATTTAGACCCCAAAATTTGTGAATTGAGATTAAATACGATCATACCAATTCAGCTCCACTTTTCAAAATAGATGATTACCATTAATGAATTAATTAATTAATAATCACGATACACGGGCCAGCTGGTATTATAACCAAGACGAAAAAGCCAACAAAAAGCCAATGTTGGCATTGGCTGGAATAAAACGGAAAAATGGTCAGTTAACTCGATTTTTCAACGGCTGGTTCAAATTTGTCGAATATTTGTGGGGCCCCACAAATATTAGAATTGGTTAAATTTATTGACATTTCAGCCGTTTCTATACCGATTTGGATCACACAAAGATGTTGTTGTCATTTAAATTCTATGTTCTTTCAAATTTGCCACTCAGTTCTTCATTGTCTCACAACAAAATTATTTTGTGTAGCTTCCTCTGCAACAAAACTCAACTATCCCTTTAAGTCACAGCGCCTTGTGAGAAATATAAGGTTTGTGTCATCCCAATCCAAAATTCATTACAGAATATTTATTTTGCATCACTCTGGCAAGCGTTAAGTGCCAAGAACATACATACGGGGACATTTTTTTAAATTAAATTGGGTGAGCTAGAGAGACGAGCGAGCCAAAAGGAATGACATTTTTAAGGAATACATTTTTCTAGTTGTTAAAAACACAATTAAAAAAGATATAGAATAACATATGCGGGCATTTCACAACCGAATATACATGAAATTAAAAAAAATCATATATATCGTAACGTCGATACACGAATATGAGGGTATTCAAGTGTCTCGTTGTCCAGAACTATCCTGTTTTTTAATGTTGTGAGCGAGTAAAGCGAATGAGTGTGGTGTACATTTAATTTTGATTCAAAGGATATACAGGTACCTCGATCGCTGCCCCAATATTGAGGTATTCAGGCACCTCGCTGGTTATAATCATCCTGTTTCTAAATATTGTGCACAAGCGAGGAAAAAAGACAATTTGCCATCTTTAAAATCCTATATCTACATGAAATGCCATAATAATAATATTCAGTTCTTGTATAGCGCATTTCCCTATCGCTATACATTTCCAGAGAGCTTTGAAAATTATTACTCTAGCTTTAGCTCTCCAAGTCGTTTTCAGCGCACTTCAAGGAATAATCCTACCTGGGTCCAAAATGTGGCATTTGTGGATTACTGGTTGCCACAGGAAATTATATCGCCGTGGGACTTGAACCGCGGGCCTTGTGATCAACAGTCCGGTGACATATCCATTCGGCCACGACACTTCTACATACTCTAGCGGTTTCTGATATCTGGTTGTCATGTTATTGTAGCCCAAAATGATCTTTCTCATATAACTAAATTTCTTTCGCGGCACCCCTAACGGTGTCTTGCAGCACCACGGTTGAAAAACGCTGTAGTAGGTTACAACATAAGTCTTGTGATAGTAAATCTCTAGAATCTTTCAAGAAGTATCTTTAAATGTGTCTATATACATTTGACATGTAGCTACCAGTGCTATATTTATAATGAACCTTGTAAGTGTTTATGTATTGATTATAATTGTTCTGTAAAGCAATTTGAGTAGTTTTAATTCGGATATAGTACTATAAAAGAAACTAATATTATTATCATTATTAAGATAAATAAACAAAAAATATAAGAAACATATCTTGGTTGGCGTATAACTGAACATATAAGAAATGTATGAAACTAATTAATGAAAGGTTGGGCTTCATCTACTATCGAATTCAATTACACATGAATTCGACGAATGAGAGCTCTCGGACAGTCTATTAGAACAAAATGTAAGCTTACCTTGAAACGTTTTGATGAGCATTTTTTCTGTGTTCGTGGTGACAGCTTTATTGCTCTTTTCTCTAATGAACTCTTGGAGATATTGTAAAGCATCCTTGGTCCGAGCTGTTTCATGGAAGGCAAGAGTACTGCTGTATGCCTAAAAAATGTTTTTTTAAAGGGCCTTCAACTTTCTCTCTTGACTGCATTTTTTTATGGGCTGCTTTAGATCAATTACTGCCATACGGAATATAATAATAATAATAATAATAATAATAGTATTAACATTAAAAAAGCACCTAAAGGTACGATGTCCCATTTGCACGCTAAAAAATGAAAAAGTTAAATTCCAACAGCATTTGAAAAAATGATGATAATTTAGTACTTCCCTCAAAACGAAAGGTCTTGAAAATGTGGGAAATAACGACCATTAGTTGTCGAATCAACTTTAGGGATTGCAATCCATTTAGTAATAGTCCATTAACCAAATGGTTGTACGTTTTGTGCCGCGCAAAGATACAAGCAGTTTACTTTTGGACATTAAAAGTACTTGGTTATTGATGTAGACAAATGCTCATGTATCCTTTACAGCTCATTTTATGTATTTATTACCAAAGTTTTTAAAAAGTCAGTCAGTCACTTAATGGAAAATACACGGGTTTCCTTTCATAATGTGAATATAAGGACACTGCTAACGTTCAAATTTCACAAATAGGACATACGTGACATATTCATATTTCCTGCAAAGTTCTACAGAAATAGATGTTGGCTGCAAATAGGACATAGTACCGTTAATACAGATGTTTCTAAGAGCTGTACTCAGTATCAAGACTTCGGCATTGGCCGAGCTTATGAATAAATAAATCAAAATAAAAACATTCAAAATGCAACATATGTGACAGCTTTAGATGCACTACAAGATAAACATTACGACATCATGACATGATATGAAACATTTTTTATCTTTCAGTTCACCTTTCTTGAGTTTGGTTCCTTTCATATGCATCATTTTTAACATAAAAAAGTTCAATTTCATCAGCTTAAAGGGCAGTTTATAGAGGTCATTATAACATTGAAATTGTTATCAATACTATGATATAGACTGAAAGTTATATGTCTTGCAAGACTCAAGTTTGGAAGCACAGATTGACATTGTCTCTTTGCAAATATATACAGCCAGAGCTGATTATTTCACAGATATTATACACTGAAGGAAGTTTTTCATCAGTCCGAAAGAGTAATGATGTTATGACATGAGGAAAAGTGTTCTGACTGTATATTTCACAGATATTATATACTAAGGAGGTTTTCCATCAGTCCGAAACTGATAATTTTAAAACACATTTTACAACTGACGATTTTAACAAATTTGTATAACTGTATGATTCTATCACATCTTATGTATTATAATATTGTATGGGGCGGTTGCTCATTTTATTCATCACAGGGAATTTTTTTTACTACAGAAACGTGCAATACGAGCAATTACCAAATCAAACTATTTAGCACATACCCAACAATTTTTGAAAAGTTAAAATATTGAATATTTTTGTTATAAATAAATTACAACTAGCATCGTTTATGTTTTTTTTTTTTTTATTCTTATCAACTATTACCCAATAACTTTCATGACTATTTTGAATAAAATAGCAACATCAATAAGTATAAAACAAGAAATTCCAATAAAATGTATGTACCTTTTTATAATTTTAACTTTTCAAGAACCACAGTAAGTTTTAAAGGCCCACAGCTTTGAAATGAGTTACCAAATGTATTAAAAGAAATATCCAGTGTTCTTGCATTCAGGAAAAAATATAAATGTTATCTTCTTGATTGTGAGTAGTTTTATTTGATCTAATTGCCTTTTATGTGATTTATGTAAATAGTTATGTTGTGTTTTTATGTGATTATGCTATGTTATATTATCTGTTTGTTTGATTGCTTTTATATTTTATATTTTGTATAATGTATTTCTCTTGAAGGTTGGTAATATAGGGGATCAACCTTGACAGGCCAATGGCCTTTTTTGATCCCTCGCATCTACCACCCTTCATCCTTCTTTCACAGTACCATGTCAATGAATGCTTTTATATTTAAATTGTTTTAATTTATACTGATTTGTTTGTATATCTTTTAATGTGTTATTAAAGAGATGTAAAATAAAATTGATTTTGAATTTGAATTTGAATTTGAAGAATAACGATGTCAGCGGTGGGATATAAACCAGGGTACATGTTGAGGTGCATGATGTTATGACATGTGGAAAAAGGTTCTGACTGTATATTTCACAGATGTTATAGACTGACGGAGGTTTCCATCAGTCCGGAAGATTAAGGCGATGTCAAGGGTGGGATATAGACCAGGATGCATTGTAGAGGTGCATGGTGTTATGACATGTGGACAAGCGTTCTGACTGTATATTTCACAGATATTATATACTAAAGGAGGTTTTCCATCATTCAGGAAGATTAATCATGTCAGCGGTGGGACATAAGCCAGGATGCATGTAGAGGTGCATGGTGTTATGACATGTAGACAAGTGTTCTGACTGTATATTTTACAGATATATTAGACTGTAGTAGGTTTGCAATCAGTCCGGAAGATTAAAGATGTCAGCGGTGGGATATAAACCAGGATGCATGTGAAGGTGCATGGTGTAATGATGTGTAGGCACGTGTTCTGACTGTGGATGAAAAGGTTCAAGGTTTAAGTCCCATCCATGGATTAACTGTCCTTTGGTAAAACATTAAACTAAATTTGACATTCTCAAACCAATTGCGGTTATTGGAGAAGCGTGGGAAGAACATTCCCTTCGTGCGTATAGTGTCTTTGAGAAGCTTACCAGTATCTATGCAAACTAATATTTGTAGAAACTTGGAAGTTTGAATGTAGTGACTACCTTGAGATATTTTGCACACGTCATGAGACTGAGCTGTAAATCGCTAGATTGAGAATTCTTTGCTATCTCCTCCTTCAGCTTGCACAGAACATGGTTGAAATTCTCTCTGGAATGGTTACTGCTTCGTAGACTGGAAAGCTTTTCAACTGTAGTGCTGAGAACGGAGCTTCCTATAATAAAATTAATCAAAAAGAGATAACGTTGACCTCTCTACCTATAAGCCGAGAACAACTCTTCATCTAAAGCATATTCATTGTGCCAACAGTAAGCCAGATCTTTGTATTTACCATTGTCTAACTGAACTTGAACTGTCATCAATATGCAGGATTTTGTTGAATACTTGGAACAAAACGTGTGTAATAATCAGCTATGGCCAGGATATACGTTTCCAATATTCCCTGTGGTATGCACTGTAACGTTTTCAAATGTGTTAACACCGCATTAATGCAGACAGTTTTCTAAATAATGATGGCGACCATCTTCATGTATCAGTGAATATTGTGCATCCACTAGAACAAATCAGACACTTTACAGACTATGCGTCACCAACAAGTAAATTTAAAGAGTATCTTCTTGGACCTACCTGGGCTTGAGTTGATATACTTGAAGACCTGATACATGATATCCTGTATTAAATCTGCAAATGAATCCTCAGGTCTATCTGTCACTACAACCAATCCTGATAATGAAATAGGTCTTTACATTATGATCGTGAAGACTTTAACAAAAATAACCTAAGATTATATATTCTAATTATGTATATCGTAAAATGACCATAGTCTCTTAAATTAATGAGCTGTACATGGAGCTTGATCTTTAAACCCTCTCATATAAATACAAATTACAAACTGACCTTTAAAAATATGACCTTGAGGGGATAGTTGAGTTCATGTTTAAGACCGCTAATGCCTTCAAAATGCATGGGTTATTGTTCTTATTCGTATTTATGACATTTCAAGTGTCCTTTTAGGATCTAAAATTGCTATAAAAGTAAATTTAAACCCCCAAATGTGTGAAATTGAAATTAACTACGATCATACCAATTCAGCTCCACTTTCCAAAAATATGGTGACCGTTAATAAATTAGTCAATTAATAATAACAATACACGGGCCGGCTGGCTGTGCGTATTATAACCGACACGAAAAAGCCAACAAAAAGCCGACATTGGCATTGGCTAGAATAAATCCTTTAAAGCGCTATCTCGTTTTTTCAACGGCTGGTTCAAAATTATCGAAGATTTGTGGGGGCCCACACAAATTAGAAATGGTCATATTTACGTATATTTCAGTCCTCTTTGAACCGATTTTGATCAAACAAAGATGATTTTGTCATTTAAATTCTATGTTCTTTCAAATTTGACACTCAGTTTTTCATTATCTCACACAAAATTGTTATGTCTAGCGCCCTCTTCAACAAAGCCCAAGAATCCCTTTAAGTTCTAATATAAATCCCTTTCACCATAGGCATTGTAAAATGCCAAGATTTTGATATACTGTAGTATCTTTTTCTGAAAAAAGAAATTCTGTGTTGCTTAATAAAATTCAAAAGTTCGTTTAGGTTATCTTGTAATATATTTTGTACTATGATGGCCAATTAAAAGAGGAGCAATAAACAGAGGCTTGCAATATGACTGAGAAGATTTCCTATCATAAATTAGGTTAAGGGATTTGTCGTAGGGTCAGGTTACGGTTCAGTGTTATTTCCAAAGCTCACTCTCGCTATAAATCTGCATTTATTATATAAACAATTAAACATTGAGAAATTGTTACTTGTGCAGATATTTTATGATATATTGTGCATATCTCATGTATCTATTATGTGTATCCATGCAGTGGCGTACGCAGGATTTTTTCAAGGGGGGGGGGGGGGGGGGGTTTTAAAATCGGGTCCAAAATTTCGCAACGACTCAGGAAAATTTGAAAATCGCGCCGCCAAAAAGTCGCTCAGTTGGGGGGGGGGGGGGGGGGTAAGCGGACACTTTTTTTTTTTTTTTTTGGTAGTCCAAAAAAAATCGCAACGACTCAGCCAGCCGAAAAGTCGCTCAGTGGGGGGGGGGGGGGGGGGGGGGGGGGGGGGGGGGGGGGGGGGGGTAAGAGGACACTTTTTTTTTTTTTTTGGTCTCGAAATTTGAAAATTTGACATTTTGTTCCTTTGGGGGGGGGGGGGTAAGGTCACCTTTCTTAGGTCAGTCGTGGGGGTAAAAAAAAAAAAAAAAACCAAAGGGGAGGGGGGGGGGGTTTTAGGGATTTTTGGGGGGGTTTATACACATAAAAATACCAAAGGGGGGGGTTTAACCCCCCAAACACCCCCCCCCCCCCTGCGTACGCGCCTGTATCCATGTATCATACAGTCAGCTAATGAGGAGAGCCTTTTACTGAAAGTTGTTTTCTTTGGTGATCAGTAAGTAGGCATCAGTTGGTGATTTCTTTTCTTCTGTTACTGTTCTTGTGTGTATGTGTGTGTGTGTGTGGGTGTATATGCGTGTGTGTGTGTGCGTGTGTATGTGTTATTGTTTACTCCTTTATGTTCCTTGAAATTAAATATGGTCAAATATGGTCAATTTTTTAAATCATTCTATGAGAAATATCATTTGACAAAACAAAGATGGAGAAGATATTTTCACCTTCCTCAGGCTTGTTGACAACCTTTTCCAAGCTCTCTTTATGTTTCTGAACAGTGGATAACTTCACTACATCCATGTTAGCACACATCTTGAGCATGTATTGAATGGCATTCTTGTCAGAACGTGCTTTACCTACTCCCAGAGATGCTGTCATGCCAAGAATCTAATACAGAATAATAAAATCATTACAATTAAGCATGATCTTATCTTAAGAAGTACATGAAATTTAATCAAAACAATACCACCATTTCCTGATATCGAAGAAACCATGCGATAATTCATCTAAACTCAGGATGGTAATTCACAGAGTTTGAAAAAGAATCACTTCCTTCAATGTACATTATTGTGAATATTTGAAGAAATATGAGGTAAATGAGAGCAATTCACAAATTTCATTTTCAAATACAGCACTGATATTACACACTTGAAATTTCTTTGACTTATCTGCTGCATGATTAACTTAGCTGAGGCATAACTTACTTGAGGAAGAGGTTTCTCATTTTTCATTTTTTGCTCCATGTACTTTGCCATGATCGCATTGTATTGACTCTTTTTCTGAAATGACAAAAATTATAACCATCATGCAATATAGAATGATACATGAATATTTATGGGAATCATACTCAATGGCATCCTGTATATTAGAAAGTACATCTATACAAACATTTATTGCATATACTGTATATACAAACATTATATTGAAAAGATGACGTGATGGTCGTTTCTAACTATAGACCGATCTGAATACTGCCTAGCTTTTCTAAAGTTTGGAACGAATTGTTTATAACAGGCTTTACAGCTTTTTTTTTATAGATATATGTGAATCATTGAATCCTGATCAGTTTGGGTTTCGGCGGTCTCATTCTTGCGCTACTGAAATTTTATGATCGCGTTTCAAGTGCACTCGCTGCTCAAGAGCATGTCATTGGTGTATTTATGGATCTGAGCAAACCATTTGACACACTTGACCATTCAATTCTTCTTTCTAAGTTAGAGCATTGTGGAATAAGGGGCATAGCTTATGGCTTGCGAGTTACTTATCTATGAGAAGACAGTACACTTATTATAACTCTGTTACCTCTGACATTCTGTATCTTAAATGTGGTGTTCCGCAGGGATCTATCCTGGGCCCATTATTATTTCTTATTTATATCAATGATATTTGTAATGTATCTAAAACTTTAAATTATACTTTATTTGCAGATGATACGAGTGTTTTCTCGTCTCATCGTGAAATCAACACTCTTGAACAGAAACTAAATTTGCAACTGCCAAAGTTGACTGTATGGTTTAGAAGTAATGTGCTCCCTCTCAATGTTCTTAAAACAAATTATATTCATTTTAGAGGTAGAAAATCTAATGACAACCTTGCTTTTGATATTAAACTAGATGATATTTCTTTAGAGAGAAAGACATGTACAATATTCCTTGGTGTCTATATCAATGAAAAATTTGTCTGGAGCGACCATGTAAAACACATTGTTACACCAATCTACAGAAATACCGGCGTACTGTATATAATAAAATGTTTTGTTTCTGATATAATATTACTTATGCTATATATAATAGTATAATTTTACCACACATCTCTTATTGTAATATTTTGTGGGCAACATCCAAGTGTGTGACTAATAGTATTCTTCTGCTGCAAAAGATAGCTGTACGCATATGGACCCGAGCTGGTTATCGTGACCATGCTACCCCACTATTTGTTACACTGAAATGCTTAAGGGTTGAGAATAATAGCTTCCTCCAAATTGCTATATATATGTTCCGTTTTAATATCAAATTATTACCTACGTCATTATCTTCAATGTTCCAACCTAATAACATGGTTCGTTCGTATTCAACAAGGCAGTCATCGAATTCACATGTGGTCAATCCTCACACTACATTAGCCCAGAAATCAGACACAGACGTCCAGATGTACAGAATTATTTACCTAATGATATTCGAAATATAGAATCAACAAACTCCTTTAAAAGAGCACTCAAATGCATTATCATTTCACACATGTAAGATATCAATAACATTACAATCTCTATATCAGTTCTAATTAAATCGAACATAATTTTGTTACTAGGCTTAACAAAATCCTTTTTTTTCCTTTCTTGTTTTAACTTTGTAAAATAGTGTAAATAGTTCACTGCAAAACTTTAGGAATTGTATATGTCATAATTATATTATATATTTGAAAGGTGTTGTAACGATTCAACCTCTATTTGCTTATGTTTCATCACCTTTGTGTTCATTCTTCAAACTGTATATTAGTTGCAACTTGTCTTTGATAAAACATCTTATATTCTTCTTCACGTGAAGTATATTCAAATGGATTGTAAAATTGAAATGATTTGTTATATTATATTCATTTTTTCATGTGATGTTAACTTAAATGAATTGTGAAATTGTAAACATGCATAAATTGATAAAGAAAGAAATAAATTAACAGTGCGCATGCGCAGACATGGGCGCCATTTTAACTTGTTGGTAAACAAACCACTGACCTCTCGAGGTCAGTGGTTTACGCTTAAATTAAGACGGCGCCCATGCAAATATGACTTGAGCGCACAGCGCAGGCAGTGACGCAACAATACATGCGCATCTGAAAACATTCGGTGTGTTCCTATCAAAAGCCATTATCCGGTTAATAGCCGATAAGGGATATATTTGTCCTAATACACTGTCGCTCATATAGTTGGAATATTTTTGTTTTACCCCAATTTATGGAATTATTTTGACAATGATTTATTTCTAATAGATATACTAGTAACCATTCTCAGATTTTATTGAATAATAATATGCCAGTGTTTGTTTTGCGTGAATGCTAAAGCATGTATATGTTACTATGCTTATCATCTAGGGGACCTACGCCCTTAATTCATAAATGACAGTAATGAGGACTAATGCCCCACAAAAGGGCACTAATATAGCACATCGACACGGTTTTGATCCTGGGGCCTCACAGTTACGAGGCCATTGCTTTGTCACTGAACCACGACTGTACGCAGCGGGGGTAGGGTAGGGGGCAGTTTCCATAAATAAAAAAATTAAAATAAAATGCAATAAATTTTCAATAATTTATTGCATTTCATCCCGGTCCCCAACATAAACAAATCCTCTAGATGGCCATGCATTATGGCTCAAGGCATGGGCACACCGTGAGAGGATTTTTTTAATGTTGGGAACCGGGATAAAATGCAAAAAATTATTGAATATTTATTGCATCATATTTACATGGGCGCTATCTTAATTTACGCGTAAACCACTGACTTCTAGAGGTAAGTGGTTTGTTTACCCACAAGTTAAAATGGCGCCCATAACGCACTGTACAGTGCGTCCAAGAAAAAAACGAAACCGAGAAGTATCGATGTTTTATCATAACTTAATCACAATTATAATTTATAAAAGACACATATTTGTAAAGCTTAGATCCTCTTCCTTCATTTGATGTATCCAATATCATGTATATTTCACGCATGAGTGATTAAAAACAATTTGAGGAGAGGAAACCAAAAAGTCACTTAGCGGGCGGTATCTGTATTTCAAAGATCACATATTATGTAGAAAGCTCGTTTTCTGCTCTTTCATATGACACTTCAATCAGGAAAAATGAGCCGGGAATAACAAAGTTCTGTTTGTTAAAAGTTTGCTTGCATTTCCATAATTTGATTAAACGAACTCGTTTTCACTTGCTGCCTGCAGTAGCAACAAACAGAGTTGACAACAGACTTAACTCCGTTTCGTTGACGATCAGCCATGCACAAAGAAGAAGAGAGTTGCATCATATGGGATGCATCAAATGAAAGAGGAGTATCTAAGCTTTACAAATATGTGTCAATTATGGATGATAATTGTGACTAAGTTATATAAAACATCGATAGTTCTCGGTTTCCATTTTTTCTGGGACGCACTGTACAGTGCGTCCAAGAAAAAAACGAAACCGAGAAGTATCGATGTTTTATCATAACTTAATCACAATTATAATTTATAAAAGACACATATTTGTAAAGCTTAGATCCTCTTCCTTCATTTGATGTATCCAATATCATGTATATTTCACGCATGAGTGATTAAAAACAATTTGAGGAGAGGAAACCAAAAAGTCACTTAGCGGGCGGTATCTGTATTTCAAAGATCACATATTATGTAGAAAGCTCGTTTTCTGCTCTTTCATATGACACTTCAATCAGGAAAAATGAGCCGGGAATAACAAAGTTCTGTTTGTTAAAAGTTTGCTTGCATTTCCATAATTTGATTAAACGAACTCGTTTTCACTTGCTGCCTGCAGTAGCAACAAACAGAGTTGACAACAGACTTAACTCCGTTTCGTTGACGATCAGCCATGCACAAAGAAGAAGAGAGTTGCATCATATGGGATGCATCAAATGAAAGAGGAGTATCTAAGCTTTACAAATATGTGTCAATTATGGATGATAATTGTGACTAAGTTATATAAAACATCGATAGTTCTCGGTTTCCATTTTTTCTGGGACGCACTGTACAGTGCGTCCAAGAAAAAAACGAAACCGAGAAGTATCGATGTTTTATCATAACTTAATCACAATTATAATTTATAAAAGACACATATTTGTAAAGCTTAGATCCTCTTCCTTCATTTGATGTATCCAATATCATGTATATTTCACGCATGAGTGATTAAAAACAATTTGAGGAGAGGAAACCAAAAAGTCACTTAGCGGGCGGTATCTGTATTTCAAAGATCACATATGTAGAAAGTTCGTTTTCTGCTCTTTCATATGACACTTCAATCAGGAAAAATGAGCCGGGAATAACAAAGTTCTGTTTGTTAAAAGTTTGCTTGCATTTCCATAATTTGATTAAACGAACTCGTTTTCACTTGCTGCCTGCAGTAGCAACAAACAGAGTTGACAACAGACTTAACTCCGTTTAGTTGACGATCAGCCATGCACAAAGAAGAAGAGAGTTGCATCATATGGGATGCATCAAATGAAAGAGGATTATCTAAGCTTTACAAATATGTGTCAATTATGGATGATAATTGTGACTAAGTTATGATAAAACATCGATAGTTCTCGGTTTCCATTTTTTCTGGGACGCACTGTACAGTGCGTCCACAAAAAAAAATGAAACCGAGAAGTATCGATGTTTTATCATAACTTAATCACAACCATAATTAATGAATCATACATATGTGGAAAGCTTAGAGTCTCCTATTTCATGTGATGCTACTCAGATAATGCATATTTCACGCGTGAGTGATTAAAAGCAATTTGAAGGAAGGAAACCAAAAAGTGATTTGGCGGGCGGTATCTGAATTTCAAAGAAAAATTCATATTTCTAGAAAGTTCATTTTCTGCTCTTTCATATGATACCTCAATCAAGAAAAATGAGTCAGGAATAACAAAGTTCTGTTTGTTTAAAGTAGCCCTTACATTTTCATAATTTTAACAAACGAATTCGTTTTCACTGGGTGCCTGCCGTAGCAAAAAGCAGATTTGACAAAGGACTTAACTCCGTTTCGTTTACAATCAGCCATGCATGAAGACTCTCGTCTACGGCTGATTGTCAGCGAAACGGAGTTAAGTCTTTTGTTAATTTTGTTTATTGATACGGCAGGCAGGCAGTGAAAACGAATTCGTTTAATAAAATTATGGAAATGCAAGCACTACTTTAAAACAAACAGAACTTTGTCATTCCTCGCTCATTTTTCCTGATTGAGGTGTCATTATGAAAGGGCAGAAACTCAACTTTCTAGAAATGTGAATTTTTTTTCGAAATTCAGATACCGCCCGCCAAATGTCTTTTTGGTTTCCTTCCTTCAAATTGCTTTTAATCACTCACGCGTGAAATATGCATTATCTGAGTAGCATCACATGAAAGAAGAGACTCTAAGCTTTCCAAATATGTATCATTCATTAATTATAGTTGTGATTAAGTTGTGATAGAACATCGATACTTCTCGGTTTCGTTTCTTCTAGGACGCACTGTATAATCACCTTTGTCTCATGGCACTCATCTAAGACGATAAGTCCTATTTGGTTGAATGACACCTGTCCCTTGGTCAAGGCATCTACAAGTATCTGTGCTGTTAGAACCACTACATCGTTCTCCTCCAAGACTTCATCCATAGGAAGGCGTGTTATTTCAGGCTGGCCATGATCCCCACATATATAGGCCACATCTTTGATGTATTTCTTGAACACTGCACTCTGCTGGTGTACAAGGGGTACCTGTTTCAAAACAATTTTAATTCATTAATATGCCAGTAATTATACATATCCGCTACTGTTCAAAAATGTGTGGCTCAATCATATGCTGAAAATAATAATATCCCATCTGTATACTAAGTATTGTTGGATTTTGATCAAAGACTTTAAATAATTATTTTCAAACTCTAAATTCATGTTACCACTATTACTATCATCATTTAGATAAAACCTCTATGTTCGTTACGCAGTATTGGGTATTCATGCAAACAAGGATTGAAATTACAGAAAGAAAAAAAATGCTGATCTCTAAACACATCCCCCCCCCCCCCCTCCTGGAGATGGATGGTAGGATTCAACAAATCATATTCCCAGGAAACACTACCGATGAAAACAAATTAAAATTCTGCTCCTACTCCCCCCCCCCTCCCCTCGTGTACCCAAAACTGTGTCTTCATGTTAAGTTTAAGAGTCAGAGGGGGGGGGGGGGGAGAGAAAATATTTTCCCCACTTTTACATACACAAGAGAAATGTCTTTTTCAATAAACCGGTTTTGATGTATATGTAGGAGGAATGACAGCTCATTGATCTGATTACCTGGTTTACAACAAAGATAACCTTTTTCCCTGGTGATTTCCTGAGGACCTCCTGAGCTACAGCCACAGCTACATACGTCTTCCCTGAACCAGTAGGAGCTACTACACATGTATTATGGCCTTGAAGGGCAGGCTCGGCCAGTTCTTCTTGATAGATTTTAAGTTTCAAGGTTTCCATGTCATCAATAGATTTAACTGGGAGCCTATCAGCACCAGGTGCTCCTATCATTGGTTGCCTGACGGCTTCTGCTTCGTTAAGCCATCCTGTAACACGTCCAGGATCTAAAACATAAGATTGGGATAGTTATCTTTCATGATGAAATTGATTATAAATACCAGTTATACATTTATCGAACTTACAATAATACCAATTTCGTAGCACTACTAGGAAGATCCCTAAATGTAAATGTAAATCACATTATCATAACCTTTAAAATTTGATCGACTGCAATCATTCGAAATTGAAAAATGATGGGTTAAAAGAACAATAATAACAGTAATAATAATGATAATAATGATCATCATCATCATCAACATCATATTAATGAAAATGAAGATAATGATAAAAATAATAATAACGAATGCTAAATTAAAAGAAAGTATCTCTCAGATTTCTAACCTGATGTAGGCTTGACACTCAGTTGACGAAGACCATGTGTTAAACCAGTACTCCTTGACTCACTGGGCTCTGGATTCAAATAGAATGAAGCATGTTGAAAAATATCATTGTAAAATGAAAGTTCAAGAGAGCACCTAGTGATGATGATAAGTCCAATGTAAGCATCTTTCATACATCTTTCAGAAAATCTGAATGTCGTTTGAACAATGGACGTGATTCCTTTTTAAATATTTACATTACTTACTTTATTTATTCCTAAAGCAATGAGAAGGAAAGTATTGATGACAACCATAACAACACAATGTTGTGTAAAAGGATGCAAAACGCTGGCAATATCTACATGTTTGTCAATAAATCGAAATTATGATAGATTTTGGGAGGGTTTACAAAACGGATCACAAGAGATTCTATCTCTCAACACAATCAATATTTCCTTCAACATAGATAACTACTGATTATTCCATGATAGTTCTGAAGGAACAATCACAATTCACAAATCACAAAGTCTGAACACTATTCCAATTTATTCAAGAAGAAGAAGAAGAATCATGATTTTGACAATTGTGTATATTCTTCTTTGAAGAAAGTACATAGAATGTGATTTACTTTCTGATCCTGATCCTGATTCATCAAATTTGCTGTCTTTCTTGACCGACATGGAGTAATCAGAGTGTGACATGGCTGATGAAACCATGCTGTCGTCATCAGCTACATCCCTCTGGAAGTCCATGTTCTTTGTAATGCTTGCTGAACTCTCTGAAGGTGTACAGACCTCTACTGTCCTTAGAAGACTCCTCTTGTCAAAGTCAGCATCATCTGAACGAAAATTCAAGAAGGAAGAAAACGATACTCCTTTCAAAAGATCAAGTCTAAATTAAATGGTCTACATGACTTACAAATGTGGTGGCATGGCCCTACAATACAAAGATTTGCAAAAGGAAATGAATTGTAAAACTTCTAAAAAATCTAAAAACACATCCAATAACAACCGTTGTCCCTTAAATATCTTTTGTTTTGCTTAATTGTAAACATTTTCAGAGTAAGTTTGTTATTACATTTAATCTATTTAAACTAAACGCCTTGAGCACCATCTGGTGGTAATGTTGCGCATTATAAATGTCTGCATTATCACAATTATTGTTATTACTATTAGAGACAGAAAAACGCAGGAACGCAAAGCTTATAAAGACTTCCACAGAACCCCCTCCTGATTTGCTCCTGAATAATTGAATGAGAGAATTACATAAGAAATTCATACTTCAGTGGACCCCTACGTAGTAATCATTGACCTAAATGAAACAAAATTGAAACGCGCCTATAAGCCCTAGAGCAGGCCTTCTCATCTAGTTTATTATAAGTGCCAAAACGAAAAGATTTTGTAGTTGAAGTGCCACCCTGTAAGGTTGACTGTGCTGCGAGGGAGCGTAGCGACCGAGCCGAAAATGGTTGGGGTCCAGGGGCAAAGCCCTAACGGGGGGTAGCAGGGGGCAGAGCCCCCTAAAGCTGGTGGAATTAGGGCTTTCTATAGGCCCAAATGGGGCATTTTTAGCACCATTTCATTCCACAATATAATCAATCATATTCTGATATTGATGTGAAAAAATTAATACAATTCCTTGGTACAATTGTACTGGAGGTATATTTATATGTAGATTTTTGTGTGCAATAAACACGGGAAATGTCAAAATAAAGTGAAAATCAAAAAAACAAAAACAACATGTTTCCAGAGATTGACAATGTTAAAATTGGTATCCCATCGTAAGCTAATTGTTGTTCAGACCCTGGGTTTAGATTCGTATAAAATGGTAAAAACGATAAATTCCCCTTTCTTCCTGTTTGTTAAGCAGGCATTTTGGGCTCAAATTCGACTGCAACTTCTTGATTTAGCTGAGTATTTAATTCTAAAATATATATTTTCTTTCTTTCTGTTTTTTGTTTTGTTGTTGCAACAGTCACGCGCCACTCCGACTGATCGCAAGCGCCACCAGTCGAGAAGGCCTGCCCTAGAGTAATCAACGTTGCTATGAAATATAAAACTTAATTCTTGTTCGGATCCCGGACAAGTCAACTCAGTGTTGTTTAGGGTACGCATATGCGTGTTCCCAGCGAACCCCTTTTCAACAAAAGTCCGGTGTGTAAAGTCAATACGGGTCGACCTTTTTCTTTTGTTACGAGCCGGAGAGTTAGGGCACACGCATGCTATCCCTCCGTACACGGAGTGGGGGTGGGGGTTCGGATATGATGTGCCAAGCCATGGACCTACTACAAATGGACACTGATCGGTACTATAATACATGCATGCACCTGATTCTGTCAAAAGTATCATAATGACATTCCAAACATGCTTCCAAGCTTTGATCTCATCACGACCGCCGCCAGTCAGCCATACAAAAACAGAACTGTGCCTGGATCTGTACAAAATGCCTGCGCAAAAGAAACTGAATCTCTTAAAATCACGGAAATGCATGTGCAGTTGTGGCGTATTTTGGATACTGACATATATGAAGTTTTCAACATGAAATTAGAAGTAGTTTACAAGAGAAACCCAGGCGCGGATCTACGGGGGGGGGGGGTTTAGGGGGTTTAACCCCCCCCGCATCGTCATTATCTTGGTCAAACCCCCCCCCCCTTAGCAAAAAGCTAGATCCGCCCCTGAAACCTGTAAATTTGGCTGTGGTGGTGGTCATGATGTGATCAAAGAAAGACTCTCATGATTAGTCCATCTGGAGTAGGGTCCATGGTCAATGGGCCGTCACATTTTTCTTACGTGTAAAATGAATGGCAACGGCATGCAACAAAGCTCCTGCGCATATTTACTGAACACTGCATGCAGTGGCGTAGACAGGTTCGTACACCTGGGGGGATGACTCAGGGGCGGATCTAGCTTTTTGCTAAGGGGGGGGGTTGACCAATAATGACGATGCGGAGCATCGTCCACGAGCCGCAAAGCGGCGAGCCGATTTTTTTTTGTGGTGTTTATTTGAACCCCGTAAGTGATGTTTTCCTGGCATCTATTAACACAATGGAGACCATAAAAAGCAGTGCATGATAACGTCTTTTCAAATCAAGTAACATTTAAATACACAGTTATATCCAGAGTTATCATGTGTTTGGTTAAGTTACCAGATGAGTTGAATATCTTCTCACAATATTTGCACTTGAAAGGGTTTCTCTCCAGCGTGCGTTCTTTTTTCTTTCTTTTTTTTTCTTTTTTTTTTTCCTTTTTTTTGTTTTTGTTTGTTTTTTGGGCCGCCCAAGGGGGGGGGGGTTTAAACCCCCTAACCCCCCCCCCCCGTAGATCCGCGCCTGTTTAATCTTGTGATTATCTTGTGGTTTCCAAACCACAAGATAACCACAAAATACTTGTAAGATTTTCTTTTTTTTTACCGTCTGAATTGGCTTTCACCGTGTGAATGCGGCTAATAACAATAAACACAATTACAATCATGATGAGGATTATTATTATCATCATCATAATTATTATTATTATTAATATTATAATTGTTATCATTATTATTATTACTATTATTATCATCATTATGACTTATTAAGTAAGCAAATATCATTCCCCAAAACCTGGGGGGATGATTGTACATGCCATCCCCCTCATCCCCCCCCCCCCCCCCCCCCGTTGTCTACGCCCCTGACTGCATGTAATAAGATACAGACATTAGAAGCGTAACACACTTCATCATAAATTGAGCAGTTTTGATGCATTATTTCTGAGCAAGGCTTTAGTATCATCCAATTTGCAAATCATTTCTGATTTAAAATTTGCTGATATAGAATTAATTCTTGGATTAACAATAGGTTCGCATGTTATATACATTTCACATATGCTTTTCAATAAAAGACTTACTATGTTTGACAACATACATTCTTATTATTCACCTGTAACTAGCATGTCGGCAGCCTTGTGACCGAGTTCCTTTAAGATTGTATGAAGCTTGGATCTCACATCTGTCCCTGGTCTTTGATTATCTCTCCATTGCTGAAGGGTCATTAAAGTTGCACTGTATACATCACCACTGCACTCTTTCAAAGACTTTCTCAACACAGGTATAAGAAAGTTCAGATTCACTCCAAGCTTGAAGAAATCTTTTTTCTGAGTGATCTCTCCAGCAAGCGAGAGAAGTTCATAATCGGATGGAATACTTTTAGTTCTATTTGCCATGGTGTTAAATCTGAAAAGGCAAATACAATGGAATTCTACTGCTTTCATACCACACCAACGAGACATAATAATCTCCAATTTCTCCTCATTTCAATCCTCAAAACTTGGTGCATTGGTGCTGAATAATTACAATAGTACTTTTGAATAGTGTCAGACACGTTGAACACCTACATCGACTCAACCACCCTTTCTCACACTAAAGGCCCAGTGTTACAGGGAATCCCCAAAACACATATTCCTCATAACATTATTTCTAGAAAGTATCTGACATGGATGTTCATTAGACATTTCTCTCTTTTCCTGATGGCTTGTAGGCCCTACGGTTTCTTTGATAAAGAGATCACTGGTTAACCTGTTTATTCATCTTCTCATCATCATTATCATCATCACCATTACTAATATCATATTATTATTATTATTATTACTATCATCAGTTTTATCAATATTACTATTATTAATATCATTATTATATTTATTATCATGAGTATTATCATCAGTATTATCATCAATATTATCACGATCTTTATCAGTATTCTTTTCTTCTTGCTCTTCTTCTCATTATTATCATTGTTATCATCAATATTCTTGTTATCAGTATGATTATTATCATCTTAACTTTTTGAGCAAACAGTGCCCCAATTAGAGATGTCATATCAAATAAATTCACTTCTATTTTCCTTCTACAATTGGTATCTGGAATCAACAGGGAAATAAGAAATTGCCCCCAAACTGCATCATATCAAAGTACTTAGTAGTCGCCATGAACTATTTATGCACAATGCCACACTTATCATGATTATGCAATTTATTACAAAACTGTGTACGGGCAATTCTACCCCGGAATTCTACATGAAAATAAACAATTAGAAATGTTCTGTTAAACGTAGATTCATTATGAAAAAATTGATAGATTGCTTACTATCAAGTCCGGTTGTAACGTAGACCTGGTACTCTCCAGGAACCTTCATCAGCATACGGCTGTCTATGGTTTGACAGCATACGACTGTCTATGGTTTGACAGCATAAGGCGAAAGATCAAGAATGATAGACGTGACGTTCTGTTTGGGTTCGATCGAAGCATCCTTAAATGCACACAATGTAAGTTCGTCGCCCGAACAATGGGGATTCCCCGGCCTGGAATTCCCCACAGCCAGTTCGAGCAGTCTTTTTGTGTGACGTCTGTGTGACGTCAGTCATGGATAGGTTAATAGAATAAATAGTCTAATGTTGTAAACTTTTGCATTATTTCAGTTCGTTATCAACACAAACGCAAATATAAATACACATAAACATATATATATATATATATATATATATATATATATATATATATATATATATATAAATATATGTACATGTTTAGAAGGAAGTCTTGATTTCTGCTCGGAGTTCGAGAAATTACCCCAAAATACAAGAAATAATTTTGCTCCGTAGGCCTACATGAAGATTTAGTTTTACAAATTTTCCCCCTTAAAATCAAATATCATACTTAGTATTTGAGTTAGTTGCCGCTATTACGTAAACACAGCACACCTTTTTTTATTCAAAAGATTTTAGCATATGCCCAATATTTCAGAGATTTTTTTTTTAATTGTATAGGCCCTTTAATCGGAGGGGCGTCCCTTTTGACGAAAAATTGTATTTTATGGATGATTTTTTGGAAAGGAAACATTGAACCACCATGAGTTTTGTGACATTTAAAGATAAAAGAATGTATCTACATTTTGATACCCATTTCCATGGAATAAGGATCAATAATATTGACACCTCAATTTTAAGTGAAACCACTAATCACCATAGATTTGGTGTCAAATGATTGATAATTAAAATACCTTCAAGTTGATATTGGTTCATTGAGTTATGTGTGAAATATAAATTTTGAGCCGAAAAGGTGATTTTTTTTTTAATTTTATTTATTTATTTATTTTTATTTTATTTTTTTTTTTGGGGGGGGGTCGATATTTTTCCCCTCTAATTTTGGCCGTTACCTCGGTATATTATATGGTCAATGGGGATGGGATATTTATTACTGCAGAAAGTTCAAAGGATTGGGAGTGCTGAGCGCAATCGATAAGTACTTCTTTTGTACTCTGGGATGTTTTAGGAAATGTGGGCTTTAGCAGTTGCCCCCCCCCCCCCCAACAAAACAAAAAACCTGGCCCTTCCAGCCGCTTTTAATAATCGTGCATGACCAAGACAATGCTGTGCATTAACATGAATTAAAGACAGTGAATTATTTTGCTGCGACTAATAATAGCAATAGGGCCGCCGCAGCATTCCAGCGGTCACATACGGTAGCGGTCACATATGTTATGCCTGGATTACATTTGGCCCGGGCGCCGCACGATAAATTGGCCTACGATTTTTCGTGCGATTTGGGGGGCATCGTAGGAGGCTACGGGCTACGATGTTTGTGTTTACATTATCTATGAGCATCGTGCCATTTCTTGTATTGGCCCTCGGGGGTAGACCGGGACACATCCGTACAGAGGCTGCTCGGAGATTGTACGGAAATCGTGTAATTTCAGTGCAACACCCGTGCAGTCTCTGCAACCTCCGCACGGAAATAGTACAGAGCTCGTGCAGCTTCCGTGCAGAGGTTGCGCGGAGAAGGCGCGGTGACCGTGCAGCCTCTGTGCCGTTTTTTCGGCGTCTGTTGCCCCCATTTTCACTGAAAATCATGCGTTTGCTGCACGATCAGCGTGAGGCCTCCACGCAATGCGTAATTGTACAATGCCACCTACGACATGTCTACGGGCTACGGGCTTACGATTTTTCAAATTTGTTTAACTCCCCGCGAAACTAAATCATAGTCGCCGCGGAGCCCGTGAATCCGTACGAAAGTCTATGGCCGCCTCCTGCCTCCCCACGGAGGCCGCACGGAAAAGGGTATACGGGCAGGATACGGGCCCCTAGACTAATCGCAAGCGAAATGTAGTCCAGGCATTAGGGTAGTCGCATGGCGTATTTTGATTTATGCAGCTGAGGTACAGTCTTTGAAGTGATGACGCACGGTCGCCTTAGGGCCGTAAGTCTTTGACAAATACTCAGGCAGACACAAGGTAGCCGCAAAGTAGCAGCAAGGTGCCCGCAAGGTTTCATATCTGCATCTCTTTCCCTTATTTCTCACATTCTCTCCCCCTCTCTCTCTCTTTCTCTGACCCTCCGCCTTTCTCCTCTCCCTTAAATAAATCTCTTCACCACCCTTCATATCCATTCAAACGACAGACATTTTTCTATTTCATTTTATGTCCTTCATTCGCTTAAAATTTAAACCACAAACATAAAGTCAAGGTATTTGCCCATGCGATGTTGTTTTGCCGATTATCTTAGCTTTTTGTCAATTGTATATTCCATATGTTTTTTTATAAATATTACGACCACATATTTTCTGATTACTTTTTTTCGGGGGGGGGGGGGGGGGAGTGGGTGATTTGGTGGAGAAACTAAACTTTATTGGAACAAAATAAGTTTAGTTCTCAATAGACCGGTCCATAAATGTCTATAAATTAAATGTATTATTCTACAACACTAATGGTGACCCCGGAACTTAATAAATGCCTGCCCAATATAACATTAACTAATAACTAAAACTAATAGGCTCTCGGAGAAGAAGTGACCATTATTTTGATTATTGTGTCCATTTCCTTGAATCTGCATTGTTATGTCTGCATCTCAAAACACTAATCAAGAGCTCCATTGAGATGCAATAAATAGTACTATCATAAGTGTTTAACGATGGATAATCTGAATTTGGGACAAGAAGTACATGTCATCAGCCACAAAAGAGTTCTTTACGTTGCATATATAGATATGTATAATGAGCTGTGAAACATTGAATAAAACACAATTCAAAGATATTGATATGTAAAAGATAAGTTTTACCTTTATTTTCTGATAAAATCCTCTGAATTTCTGACTAAACATTTGATGATATCTCATACCTTCAACGAAAACACGCAATCTTATAATTTGTGTCTTCAAACATATATATATATCTTTATTCCGAATAGTAGTCATAACAACATGAACAAGAAGTGAACGCTTAAACCCAGGTCCATGACACAGTGTAGTAAACAACATAAGTGTGTCATTGGCAGAGCCGTCATCACTAAATGCCAGGTCTGTTACAGACATCGTCGGTCATGACCCTCCATTTCTATCTATTATCTGCTATTCTTACAAAGCTGGTATTGCTGATTTCAGTTTTGGTTGCCCATTTGTTCAGGCTTTGCAAATATGGGAGGCCTTGCATGCCTTCCCCTGCTTCTCTTTCCAGCAATCTTCCCGTAAATATTGTTTTTGTTTTGATTATCTTTTTAGTATTATGTGAACAAGAGGGTGCACAAGACAAATACAAAGTAAACACTACATGGAAACATTTTTAGAAATAGATAACACATTTTGTAAAATCTCAACGATTATAAACTACCAGTTTCTATGCACGCATATTTTACGAATTATTAGCTAATTTAAGGACGAAAATAGAAGAAACGTTATTATAGATAACAGCAATTTTAACTCCAACATTCATTTGTTAAGATTGGAATTAGTATTATCTCACCATTCATTGATTTACAAGGGTAATATTCTTTTTCTTCATAACCTTAATAGTAACGGGGATTTTTTTGTAAATTAACAAGAAGTACAATTTTGATTTCAGTATCCATACAAGTTGACATCATCAATAATATGTACCTCAGTGACCTCTTATTTGATTTGTACAATTTGATTGAAAACTATTTTGACAATATCATGTTAAACAAGCAATACATAGTGATAACAAGAAATAAAAATAATAATATATCTTGTTTACCCAGCCTCATCAGCATTAATAATGTTCGTTTTAAATGCTTCAATGTTTTATTATCCAAGTCAATACCACTATTGATAAGCTTATCCAAACATTTTTTTTTAAAACGTTTTAGCCCTCCATAGGCTATTTTATTGAGTCAAACAAACATTTTTACAATTCAATGAAATTAAGTCTTTCCTTAACAGGACGTAAGGATGGTAGTGGTAATTACAGACCAGTGAGGTTGACATCTGTAACTTGCAAAGTCATGGAAAAGATAGTGAGAGATAAGATAGCAGAGCACATGGAAAAGAATGGGTTTTTTTCTGCCAGATGACATGGATTCAGAAGCTTCACAGTTATTGGAAATATTAGAGACATGGTCACAACTTGAAGACCTTTCAATACCATTTGACTGCATTTACCTAGATTTTTTGAAAGCTTTTGACAGTGTCCCTCACATGAGGCTGATTGCAAAGTGAGTTACACGTGAGTGACGCCGTGGGCAGAGAGAACTACATAACAGAAATTTGAAGAAGATAGGAGCAGCAAATGAGTCAAGGTGCACTTATAGTACCAGCTGCTCTTGTATGGACTATAAGAATTAAAGCGTATGCATGATAACTTGAAAATACATAAAACCACTATTGTAATGCAACAACTGACATATACAAGCAATCTCTTGCAGCATGAGTTAATTCAGAAATAATTTCAAGATGTAACAAATTTGTACTTCAATTGCACATAGTGATCTACATGGCATCATGACATACAGTCTAGAGAAATTAAAGACATTAAAAGATTTTTTTCCTCAGTCTGCTTAAAGTTTCTTCTCTTATCACATCTATGAAAACTCAGGTCTACCAATTCTCTTTTATAACATCAATGAAATTTCATAAATGTTTAGATTCCAGGGCAATGGCATATAGCTACAGAATGCATGGGGCACACGCACCCCCTCCCCCCCCCCCCCATTGAGTCGTGGAAAATAAAAAGAAAGAAAAGGGGAAGAGGAAAGGGGAAAAGTACAAGAAAAGAAGATTCCTCAAATAATGGACCCTCCTAATAACTAGCCTTGTAAATTCACAATTCAATTACGAGTGAGAATGCCCCCCCCCTCCTCTCGATAGATTCACTCACACTGTGCCACGGTGCCAGGGATGTCATTAAATTCAAAGCTAGCCTCTGTCACTAGTTCTTTACGGAAGATGAATGGCAGTGAACCCCAACTCTTGTAGGTCTTGGTCGTGCTTGCTGTGTTTCTGAGTCTTAATGTCTTGATGGAGAATGCAAGTAGCATCCGATTGCTGCACTTTAAAATGCTACCAAGCTTGGTGTCACATCGCTCATCCGCACATCTGTAAGACAAAAAATGTGAAAACTACAGAGATAAAGATGAAATTACCAGTACTTTAACTACATAATGGAAATAAGAAATATTAGACAAATAGGGAAACCGAAGATACATCTATAATGGAACATGATTTCGGAACATGATTTACATGGAATACCGATCCCAAGTATTAATCAGAGCCAGAGAAAATACCCCCAAATCCCGGCCTGCTACGTACAGTCCACCCTGGACAAACTTTTAGATATTTCCTCCAAAACAGAGTCATCATTTCAAGTCATCTAACTACCGTTTTCCAGTATTGGTTTGATGCGGTTAGCGGGGTACACAGGGTCTTGGGCAGCAATTCAAACACTCCTACTATGGCCACCATGGTACAGAGATTAAGCTAACAATGCTACAGCAAAAGCACAAACCTGATTTCTTTCTTGGCATGTTCCACGGATGACCAGTGTCCTGGATCTTGACCGACTCCTCCTGAAGCCACAATCCTGATCTTGCTGAAGATCTGACGATGGATGACCACATGGTGACCACCAGTTACAATCCTGATATCAGCTGAATGGCAAACTAGAACATCACAATGCTTGCAATGGTAACTGTGGTTGCACTCATCAAATGGTTTGGGTCGCTGTTGGTTGAAGATCTGCACATTGCGCTGTTGCTGGTATTCAGCAGTCTGTGAAAAGAGATCAAAAGTTATTGCAGTGTTTGTCAAGATTATTTTACAAAAATGTAATGATGTGAATTCTCAGGTGATTATATATGTATCACTTCATTAACGTGGGCCCAGATTCCTATTCTAATTGATTTAAAATGTGTTGATTACCAACAAGTTGTACATAAATTTTCACCTTTTTGACCTTTGATTATACATCATAAAGAATACCATCTGAAAAATTAATAAGAAGGAAGTTACATCAAATAAATTTGACTCAATAGATTCATCAATGACAAATAGAGTATTCTTAATATACACTAGCATCAGAGAGGGTTTGACCTACACAAAATATTTACTGAATAAATTTAACAAGGTAATTTCATATAATATATTGTTTTTTGTTGTTGCAAATATGCATCCCTGTCAGAGCATTTTTGGGATTAAAAGAAACTTGATCAGGGTTTTCACAATCAACATTAGAGTTGCTTCGACTTACCCCACGTTTCATCTGCTCAATAGAAAGTGATGAAACTGCATCAGTAGCTCGTTGCATGATCTGTTCCTGTTCCTTACTTAGTTTATCTTTCCATCCAGTCCTCTGTAATCATGAACTACCAGATCAAAGCGACCTCCTGGTTTACGCGTTCGGCCTTCAAAAGCAAGATCATAAATGCAACATGAATACAGGCATGGATCCATTGAGCATTGTTAGTTTCAGGAATAATCGATAAAGGATAATAAAATTATGAACCTTTAAAAAAGATTTTGGTCAATTAAACATAAATTTGAGAACTCTGTGATTTCTCTTGCTAGCAGCTTCCAATCATTTGTTCTTCATCAGCGACCAAGAAGGGAGATACTTGTTTTATTATTTGTTGGGGGTCATACATTTTCTATTCATTTTATTCTTCCAATTGGTTTGGCAGCTGTTATCATTTGTGTAGTCTTGGATATTACGTCAAAGTGCATTTATAATTCTGTCAATATCATAAATCAGGATTATTGCTCAGTATTTTTTTAACAGCAAGTAACAAAAAGAAATATACCTCTGGCTTGAATACGTGCAACAGCATCAGTGATGTAGTTGTACCTGTAGACAAAGTTGCATGCTGGGATATCAATGCCTTGTTGCATGGCCGAGGTTGCTATGAGCAGCTTGTGTACACCATCACGAAAGTTGTCTAGGACATCTTTCTGATGACGTAAGTTCATGCCTTAAAAAAAAAAAGATATGAAATTACATTTAATACTGATCTGAAAATAAACATTCCGAATATTTCCATCTAAGCTTCAAACTGTGCAGTATATCCATCAATCATTCAAGCGCAAAATAATTGTGAGTACTTGTCTTCCTTTAATAGCAGAAAGTTTATTTTATACTCAGATCTGCAGTCAAATTCCTCTTCAAGCAGAATGAACATTGAATTGAAAATTTGTTTGCAAGTATTGGCTAAATATATGAAATATATATGAAGGAAAGAAAATATTGACAGTCGATTGGTAGGATAGGCCCTGTGAATACAGTCCTTGAGCTAATGATGATCATGTTCAATACATCTTCTTCTTCCTCCTCTTGGCATTAAAGATAAACAGTACCAAACAGCCCAGTGTGAAGGTATTTAAATAGAACAAGAATGAAAGCTGTCTACATTACTTTCAGCATGGGCTTAGTCATTGAAACTAGAAGCACATATTCTATGGATTTGAAGAATAAAGAGGAGCTAGGTAAGGGTAGTAAAGAGACAATTTCCATCTCCCCCAATCCGGACAATTTTTGCCCCAAAAGCGATTATGTATACCGGTCCCTCTTTTTGGAATGGTTTGGATTCGGAGGTTAAGGAAGCACCATCGTTAAATTGCTTTAAACGCAAACTTCGAGTTTTCTTTTAAGTTCTTACATCTGATATAATTTGTTTGCCCTCCTTACAGTCCTTTTTTTCTTCAATTTTAATCTTAATTGTTAATTAATGATGCCTGTTCCGGTGTTTTTAATGTAAACATGAACAAATTACTTTGTGCTATGCTAACTAAATTGCTCGGTGGACTACGCATTTTGACTACGCTTTTAACCGGGTGACTATGGGTATTGGTGCCAATGCATTATTTTGTATAAAAATGTCTTTTTTCATTGTGTTTTAAATTCTCCCCTCTTAATCACGTGTTTCTCTACTGCTACTTTTTTTTTTAATCTACATTACTTTTTTTCTTCCAGAAACCTATTTTATACTAGCCCTGCTTTTTAATAGGTTCCTCACATTTTACTTTATCTATTATATGAACTGAGAATCATTGACATGTGCTCATTTGTACTACAATTGTAATTTATATGTATGTTTATATTTTCTGTAAAATGTGGAACATTAAACTTGAAACATGAAACTTGAGATACAGACTGGGTAATGCAAAGGTCTGGGAGAAAGGTGAGGTTTATAAAGGCCTGTGGGCAAACCTTGTTAAGGGCATCTGGTATTTCTACTTCTTAATTTTATCGGGTAGCACCGTAGCAGTCCTTACAAAGATGGACCATAATTATGCAGGAAACATTAGAGATCGCAGGCTATGTGACCCACTGCAAATGGCACAAATAACCTTTGATGAGGCAGGTAAGTACAAACACCTGGGTTTCTGCAGCCAACTAACACCTCTGGATGAAGATCTTTGAGGGAATCTGTCTCCATGACCCAATTCTTGAGAGCCCATGTAGATGCGATGGTCTGAGTGAAGAGGATAGCTCGGAATGGACCATTATTCTCCTGGGTCTGACAAGTCACTATGTCTCCTTCTATCAGGCTCTGAAGCTCGTCAAGAGCTGGGTTATTTGGTGATTTAGGACTCATTGAAATTCTCTCCAGTTCTTGTTGCTTGTCTGTTTTGAGTAGAGAATATAGCAGAGTGAAGTTTTTATACTATAGTAGCCCGGTGATATAGAGTAGCTAGGTCAGCGTTTTTCAACCTTTTTTTAAAGCACGGCACCATCTAAAGAAATAAAGGTTTTGTGTCACCCTAATCCCAAATTCCTTACAGAAGATTTATCTTGCATCACTCTGGCACTTAAGTGCCATGAACATTCGTTTCTAAATTTTGTGAGCTAGCGAAACGTGTGAGCCAAAAATAATGAAGAACAGAAAATAAACTTATACGACTCCACTGTAATCTGAAATTTGCAGTAGCTTTCTCCGTTTACTTTCATACAATTTTCTCACTCCCTTTATCTCAAAAAATTCTCAGAAAGATATCTTTAGGCTTGAATGATTTACTGGTACATGGTGGGAGTATAACTCAAAACATTAAATGCATAAAATCAATTAATAAAGGGGTTACGCTTCATCTACTATCTTAATCAAGAACGCATAAATTGGTTGAATGATAGCTTTTAGAACAAAATGTAAGATTATACCTTGGAACGTTCGAATGAGCATTTTCTCTGTGTTCGAGGTGGCAGCTTTATTGCTCTTTTCTCTGATGAATTCTTGGAGATATTCTAAAGCATCCTTGGTCCGAGCTGTTTCATGGATGGCAAGTGCACTGCTGTATTCCTAAAAAAATAAAGGTTTTCCATCAGTCCGGCGGATTAATGATGTCAGCGGTGGAATATAAACCAGGATGCATGTGGAGGTGCATGGTGTTATGATGTGTGGATAAGTGTTCTGACTGTACATTTCACAGATATTACAGACTGGATACTCCAGTCCAGAAGAGTAATGCTGTCAGCGGTGGGATATAGACCAGGATGCATGTGGAGGTGCATGGTGTTATGACATGTGGACAAGTGTTCTGACTGTATATTTTACAGATATATTAGACTGTAGTAGGTTTGCAATCAGTCCGGAAGATTAAAGATGTCAGCGGTGGGATATAAACCAGGATGCATGTAGAGGTGCATGGTGTTATGATGTGTGGACAAGTGTTCTCACTGTATATTTCACAGATATTATAGACTAAAGGAGGTTTTCCATCAGTCCTGAGGATTAATGATGTCAGCGATGGGATATAAACCAGTGTGTATGTGGAGGTGAATGGTTTTATGACAAGTGGACAAGTGAGAAGAACATTGCGTCTAGTGTCTTTGAGAAGCTTACCAGGAGCCATGCAAAGTAATATTTGTAGAAAATTGGAACTTTGAATGAAGTGACTACCTTTAGATATTGTGCACATGTCATGAGACTGAGCTGTAAATCACTTGATTGAAAATTCTCTATTATCTCTTTCTTCAGCGTGCACAGAACATGGCTGAAGTTCTCTCTGGAATGGTTACTGCTTCGGAGACTGGAAAGCTTTTCAACCGTAGTGTTGAGAACAGAGCTTCCTGTAATAAAATGAATCAAACAAATATAACGTTGGCCTCTTTAAGCAGAGAGAAACTCTTCATCTATTATATTCATTGTGCCAACAGTAAGCCAGATTTTTCATTTACCATAATTGTCTACTTGACTGAACTGAAACGTGATAAATTTGCAGAGTTTTGATGATTGCTTCGAACACGACGTGTGTGATAACAAGCTATAGCCAGGATATACGTTTCTAAATAGCACCAATATGTCCCTGTGATATGCATTGTAAACATTCCCAATGTATTTCCAGCGCATTAATGCAGCCAATTTTTTTCCAAATAATGATGGCGATCCTTTATATGTATCAGTGAATCTTGTACATCCACTAACAAAAATCAGACACTTTACAGACTATATGCATCACTAACAAGTGATTTTGAAGAGTATATTCTCGGACCTACCTGTGCTTGAGTTGATATACTTGAAGACCTGATACATAAGATCCTGTATTTCTTCTGCAAATGAATCCTCGGTTCTGCTTGTCACTACATGCAATCCTGATAATGAAATCGGTCTTTAGATTATGATCGTAAAGACTTAAAAAAATAACCTAAGATTATATACTAATTATGTATATCGCGAATCAATGAGATGTATATAAAGCTCCACTACCACGTTGACATTAAACCTTCTCACAAAATTACAAACTTATCTTTAAATAATGCTCCGTTTAACCGTAGGCAGTTTAAAATGCCGAGATTTTGATAAAGTATCTTTTTTGAAAAGAAGAAAGCCTGCGTTACACAATGAAATCCAAAATGAAGTTCCTGACTTACGATGTAAAGTTAGGTTATTCTGTAATTAAGTTTGTACTATAATGACAAATAAAAAGATGAGCAATAAACAGAGGCTTGCAATATGAATGAAAATATTTTCTATAATAATTTAGGTTGAGGGTTAATCGTAGGGTTAGGTTAGGTTTAGTATTTCTAAAGCTCACTTTCGCTATAAATCTGCATTTATTCTTTTAGAAATTAAACATGGAGAAATTGTTGCTGGAGCAGATAATTTATGATATTCTGCATATCTAATGGATCTATTATATGTATACATGTATCATACAATCAGCTAATGAGCAAAGCCTTCTACTGAAACTTGATTTCTTTTGGTGTTCAGTAGGCATCAGTTGGTGATTTCTTCTCTTATCCTAATGTAATTTTTTGTTTGTTTTCTTTGTTATTGTTATACTCCTTTATGTTCCTGGAAATGAAATATGGTAAAATTGACATAAAAATAAATCATTCTATTAGAACTTTCATTTGACAAAAAAAAGATGGAGAATATATTCTCACCTTCATCAGGCTCGTTGACAACCTTTTCCAAGCTCTCTTTATGTTTCTGAACAGTGGATAACTTCACTACATCCATGTTAGCACACATTTTGAGCATGTATTGAATGGCATTCTTGTCAGAACGTGCGTTACCTACTCCTAGAGATGCTGTCATGCCAAGAATCTAATACAGAATAACAAAATCAATACAATAATCATAAGCATGACTATATCTTCAGAAATACATAAAATGTAATAAAAAGAAAACCATCTTGTGATACTTCATCTAAACTCAAGATGATAATTCAAAGAGTTTGAAAAACAATAACCTCTTTCAATGTACATTCTTTTGAATATTTGACGAAATATGGGGTAAAAAAGAACAATTAAAACAGTTCATTTTTAAATACAGCACTGATATTACACACGTTCAAAGTGCTACATAAACCAAAAATAAAAGTTTTGAACCTGAACTTTAAATTTTCTTTGACTTATCTGCTGCAGGATAAACTTACCTGAGGAAGTGGTTCCTTATTTGTCAGTTTTTGCTCCATGTACTTTGCCATGATAGCATTGTATTGACTCTCTTTCTGAAATGACACAAATTTATAACCATCTTGCAATACAGAATAATATATGAATCGCATAGGGAATCATACTCAATGGTATTCTGTATAAGAAAGTTCATCTAAAACAAACATTTATTACGCAAACTGTGGATACAAACATTATTTAAATATGGGAGAGAAGGGGTAAAATAACATTTATAAACAATTACATTTTACCAGCATTATTATTCCATTAGTATTTTGGAGAACAGGTTGAAGCTATGTTTTTTCTGAAGTGACTGGCATAGTAATATGATAGTCACCAAACTCAAAGATCTATAATGTTACTGTGCCCTAAGAAGAGTGCATGGTATAAATACACACACACACCACACTTGTGACATGCCACATTACAGTGGATGCAGATATCGCGATAGGCATATTGACAGCTTCGAATGGGTGTCAAATGGGGTATATTTAGGATATACCCCATTTCAGGTTACGCAATATCCATTTATTCTCCACGCTGGATGTATTCCATGTATTCCATGTCATGTGAGCCATATGTGGCCAATCTTCTCACTTAATTTGTTTTGATGTGGGATATAATAAATCATTCATGACATTATAACATGTATCAGAATATAACCTAAGCTTTCAATAAACTTGAAAAGTTGACTTTGACAAAAATCCATTCATATATTTTTTTGATTATACAGAAGAAAGGATGATTACTAATGAAGAAGAAGGGGTTTTCATTTGGAGTTCCCTAACAGGTGTCATTCTAAAAAAGGTGTTATAAATTGTGATTGCAAGATGACAAATTACAGTGGAAATATCAAAAACTTTCATGATCTCCTAATAAAGCCTTTTATGCATAAATAAACTTTGTGAATTGCAAAATTCCAGTGTTGGGAGTCATTCCTTTATGGCATTAACCTTCTGGGAATATGGACCACTGCAAGCTTTTGTGAGAGTTTCTACCACATGGCAATCTTCTAATATTATGCTTGTATAATCACCTTTGTCTCATGGCACTCATCTAAGATGATAAGTCCTATTTGGTTGAATGACACCTGTCCCTTGGTCAAGGCATCTACAAGTATCTGTGCTGTTAGAACCACTACATCGTTCTTCTTCAAGACTTCATCCAGAGGGAGGCGTGTTATTTCAGGCTGGCCATGATCCCCACATATATAGGCCACATCGTTGATGTATTTCTTGAACACTGTACTCCGCTTGTATACAAGAGATACCTGTAACAAAACAATGCATGTTATTCATTAGTATGAAAGTAATAATACATAACCGTTTCTGTTTAAATATCTGTGGTTTAATCATTTGCTGAACTTAATATTATCCCATATGTATACACGATATTGTTGGACCTTGATCATAGGTTTTCGGATATGTCCAAATTATAAATTCATATAATTATTACTATTATCATTTAAATAAAACTTTTATTGTCGTTACACAGTATTGGACATTCATGCAAACGAGGATTAAAATTACAGGAATAAAAAAAAAAATGGTTGATTCCAAAACCCCTCCCATCCCCCCCCCCCCCTGAGGGAACCTAAAGAGGGATGGTAGGATTCAAAAGATCGTATTCCCAGGAAACATTATCGTGGAAAACAAATTAATATTTATCCTGCTTCCCCCCCCCCCCACCCACCACCACCATCACATCCCTGGTTTACCCAAAACTGTGTCTTTATGTTAAGTGTAATAGACAGAGGGGAAAAGAAAGAGACAAATCGATTATTTTGGGGGTACCTTTTTCCATGTACAAAAATAAGGAGGATTTGATGTACATATAGGAGGAATGAAAGCTCATTAATCCGATTACCTGATTTACAACAAAGATGACCTTTTTCCCTGGTGATTTTCTGAGGACCTCCTGAGCTACAGCAACAGCAACATATGTTTTCCCTGAACCAGTTGGAGCTACTACACATGTATTATGGCCCCGAAGAGCAGGCTTGGCAAGTTCTACCTGGTAGTCTTCAAGGTTTTCCAGATGACCAATAGATACACAGATATCTGGAGTTGCCCGAAAATATTCATCACAGAATGAACTGATCATGTAAATTTTTAGCTTTTTTAGTAATTTTTAGTCTTTTAGCTAAAGCATCTGTCTTTCCGAACCTATAACATGAAAAACTAAAGATATCACATGCATTAACTAATATTCCTCTTCATAATTTTTGTGAAATAACGAACATTTGCCTTCACTTCTGCTAAAACATGAATAAATAATGCAAACAAGAACAAATCTATGTATAACTATTCTAAATATATGAAAGCAAATGATGTTTCATGATCACTCACTAAAGAATTTTGTTATCAAGGTTCCATTGTTCAACTTTTTCAAACCACGATTAAACATGTTTTGGTTCCAAAGTGCTCCTATCCTTGGCTGCATGCCAGCTCCTATTCTAAAGAGCCATCCTGCAAAACCTCAATGTACACTAGTGTAATGAAATGACTCTGTAGCTTTTGTTTGATGTCTGTCTGACTTGCATACCTGATTGACTGACAAAGCAACCAAACATGCAGTCAGGAAGTAAATTGTATTGAAATTACTTTATAGCTTTTGTTTTATGTCTGCCTGACTTGCATACCGGATTGCCTGACATAGCAACCAAACATGCAGTCAGGAAGTAAATTGTATTGAAATTACTTTGTAGCTTTTGTTTGATGTCTGTCTGACTTGCATGCCTGGTTGCCTGACATAGCAACCAAACATGCAGTCAGGAAGTAAATTGTATTGAAATTACTTTATAGCTTTTGTTTTATGTCTGCCTGACTTGCATACCGGATTGCCTGACATAGCAACCAAACATGCAGTCAGGAAGTAAATTGTATTGAAATTACTTTGTAGCTTTTGTTTGATGTCTGTCTGACTTGCATGCCTGGTTGCCTGACATAGCAACCAAACATGCAGTCAGGAAGTAAATTGTATTGAAATTACTTTGTAGCTTTTGTTTGATGTATGCCTGACTTGCATACCTGATTGCCTGACATAGCAACCAAGCATGCAGTCATGAAGTAAATTATATTGAAATTACTTTGTAGCTTTTGTCTGATTTCTTCCTGACTTGCATAAATGGTTGCCTGATATAGCAACTAGGCATGAAGTCATGTGGTAGATCACTTTATCCCTTATTGCTTTAATTCTTAAAGTGCGGGTTCATACCATGTACGGGGTTTAGAGTGAGGCAATAGATTAAACATTTCACCATATGGTATTGAAGTAAGAGAAATAACTGAAGAAAAGATGACAAAACAGGCACTGAAATTGTGTGAGATGTCACGGGACATCGTCTGCTCGTGCACATCATGTTTAACATGTGACGTCATATCTCAGCAGCGACCGGAGAGCTTTTCAGGTGCTATGTCGGGGCTGTATCTGAGCGTTTTGTAATTGTTAATAATCGTTACTTCGAATGTTTTCAAGCTTTGGCTTTTGATAACCTTGGCCAATCAAAGTGCCACCTTTGCAATAATGATATTAAAGTTAGTTTTTTTAAAATCAATGAACCTTCTCTTTAACTATGTGCCGAAATGTTTTGTACTCGTGCTCTAATATGTCTGGATTAACATGCCAGAAGAAAGGATAAAAGTTTGCCTCGTGTAGTGGCCTGTACAGATGTGATGTACATGTACCTGTAGGGAGTGGCAATATTGCCAATAGATAGAGTCTATTAAACCGCCTGTTCTGTCATGTTTGATATTTTGCCTGTTCTTTAAAAAAGCAGAATGACTTTGAACTGAATTGAGCCTGCATTCTTATTGTTTGGTTTCACTACACTCGGATCTTAAAGATAAGATTGGAGAGTTATCTTTATGATGACATTGACTGTAAGTTCCAGTTATAAATTTATCAAATTTACAGTACTACCAATTTATAAGCGCAGACGATCCCTAAATAAAAATGCAAATCACATGATCATAATTTAATGCTTTGGAATTGTAAAATGCTGATGGGAAAAAACTGATGATGATGATCATGGTGATGATGATAATAATAATAATGATAATAATAACAATAACAACATTTACTGCTTAAATGAATAATAATGATTATAATATGCCAGCCATTCTTGTATAGTGCATATTAAAGGTATTACAAAGTTTTGGTATGGGGTCATGAATTTGGTTCAAATTAACATATCGGAAGCATATGCGTCCCTACAATATACATTGATCGTTGTCGCGGTTGAAATCGAGTCTAAAGTTTTGAAATTATAAATAATAAACTCTTTATGTTGTATAGCTCCCTCTCAAGGTCAAGATATTAATTTAGCTATGAAACAATGTTTCATGACTAAAATCGACCGATTAGCTATTCCCGTTTGGAAATTATATATCCCAACTACATATTCTGAGATTTTCATGGTCGCAGCTACCATTGTACGGCCATAGGAGCTATTTAAAATTTATCAAAATTTACCGGGAGCACCGGTAAATTTTTATATTCATTTTTTCTCGAAAACAGAAGTGTTTTAGGGGCTAATTTTTTTATTGCTTATTATACATCCACAGCGGCATCCAAATATATCAAAATTGTAAAGATTCACTATCCACCCAATTTTCAAAATTTCCCAAAACTTTGTAATACCTTTAATAC